AGTCTTTTAGCAAATTTTTTATCTAAGAAACATGTTGAGGCTCCTGAATCTAACAAGGCAGAGGCTTTGTAATATATAGGTCCTAAAATAATATTTAATAGAAAACAAGAAAATGATTCTGAGGAGAGAATAGGACCTTTATTAGGTATTATACAAGGTTCCAATTACATAGTCCCTTGTATAGTTGGACAAACTTATTTTTTGATATATTGTCTTCTTTGTCATTTATACTCCTCATTTTATAATTGCATCACTTCTTTGGATAATGGTAAGCAATGTGCTTAAGTTTTCTATAATATAAGCACAATCCTTCTTGATAGTGACTAGTCTTTTTTTGGTCAATAAGAGATTTAAAATGTATTGCATCAATTTGCATATCCTCTACTTTTGAATGTATGTGTTGAAGAGGCATTGGTATTGCTATTGAATTGTAGTAATGTTGAGGCCTACTTTTTGACTCTCATATTCAAATTTGAAAAGTCAATTGTCACACTTCATAGCAAAGTCAATTATTTGACACAATGTTTGAAGATCAAGTAAGTTGGACATCAATTTTTCTACTTCATATTATAATCCATAGACAAATTGTCTGATAAAAGTAACATCATTCCACTTGATATCAATTATAAGATGTTAAAATTATAAAGCATATAATATCATGGATCAATTGTTTTATCATAAAAATGAATCTTATTGGTTGCAAAATGAGTTGCATCATGTTTTCCATACATGGATTGAAACTCTACTAAAAAAGTCTCTAAATTATTCAATATTGAATCTTGTCATTCAAGAAAAAATGAAAATCACAATAATACTAAATTTGAAAGAAGTATATCAATGAATCTAACTTGTGATCTTGGAATTGGATAGTTTTGCGGTTGAAGTTCAATCACAAGTTGTACTTGATTGAAAAATCTTTGAAACTTGGATCTTGTGCCATCAAACTTCTCAAGCAGGGTAATTTTTGGTTCTCTAATAATGGAAGGATGTTCCACCATAGGAAAAGGGACATGATTGAGTATAGATGTTGAAGCAGCTCCAATCATATCTTTATCTTCACTTCTTGCCATTCTAATTGCTCTTTGTAGTGATAAATTGAGTTGATGCATTGTAAGCATTAACTCCTTCAATTGTTCTTACATTTGTGCTATTGCAATCTTCATTTCAACAAGCTTTGCCATGATAATACTTAAAAAATAAATATCTAATATCGTTCAAGACAAGAAAAAGATGGAACTTAGGAATGAAGAAGATATTAAGAACAATATTAGTTTAAAAGAGGATAATTTGTAACTTCTAATATACTTATGTCTTATCAAGAAAAAGGGATAATCTATTCTTAATTAAGAGAAGACAAAGTTCTAATATTATAAGTGTACTCTTGTCAATATGTCAAAGACATGAATTAGAAGAAGATGCATAAATCTGAAAAATCTATGTTATAAAAAAGTGACAATGTAGCAATAAATTAGTATGTATATTAAAAGAAAACTAAAATGACTATTGTCAAAAGACAAGGAAACTAGAGACTCTTAAATCTAGACTAGAAGCAAAAAATGAGTTGACAAGAATGAAAAAGACTTCATTCTTGCTTCTATATATACTATCTAACTAAGAGCTATGTGGCAATGTTCTATAAGACTTCTAATATGTGTTGACTATATAAAATACATGCCTTAGCTTACAAGGCAAGTTTTCTACGTGTAGGCCACATAGTTAGCTTGTTCTTTAGGCTACCAATATGTATGGCACATGGCCAACTTGTTGACCACGTTTTTAATCTAAAATATTTATTATAGACACCTATAAAGTCAAAATAACATCTATGAAGTTTTTAGGAAGCTATTATAGAAGATATTATAGAATTAATGTACTTTTACCTATTTTTATCTAATCATATAGATAATTTTTGGTTTATATGTATATATCCATAATATAAATCCATCCAATATTCTATTGAGAGTATCCATTGTTATCTTATCTATTATAAAAATATATCTTAAGCATATTTTGCATACTCTTAAGATCTTTGGTCTGTTCATCTACTTTATTTCTTGGCCATCTTATATATGAAGAGCCAATCCTTTAACCAATAGCAACTTATCTAAAGTAATATCTTCTACAATATTACTTATTTTACTTTTATATTTATTTATATACTTTAACATTCTTACTTTACTATTGATCAAAGGCTTTCAATTCTAATGCTTTTGTCAACATGTGATGTCTATCATTTATTAGTGCCTTTATCAACAAATTAACAAGTATGTCTTTTGTTGTATAATACTTTATATCAATCACTCTCATTTCAATTTTTATCCTTATGAACAATTGGCTAACTCTTGTTTTTTCATCTCTTTAACAATACAATTATATAAAAGTTAAAAATAAGGATAGGAGGTAGAATGCAATCTTTTCCAAATTATGATTTTTTATAGCAAAGGTTTGCTATTCTTCATCTTTGTTTTGATGGATGTCGTTGATGAAAAGCTTGAACCTTCTTTGCTATATTTATAAGATTTCTTACTACCTTCTATTTACGTTTTTTGATATTATATCTATACTAATGAATAAGATATTCTAACCTATGTTAGCATTGCGTTGAATCTAAGACAACTTTGACCTCAAATTATTGATTATTATCCACTTCTATAAAGGGCATTAGTATTTGTCTTTTTCTTGGAATATTTACTATCTTATTTGGCTCTAAAAGAGACATGTAAAATATGAGATGAATTTTTATAGACTTTGGTAGATGTTATCAATAAGTGACTAAATTAGCTTATTTATAAATAGAAAAAGATCCAAGTCTATAATTATCAAATTTTTCTTAAAGCCAACTAATTTTAATATTATAACAAAATAACCATAACTAATTACTAAGTGGAAATGAGGTTGTTCTTTACATTAAACATTTATGTTACTCTTTTGTTGTTCTTCATCGTCTTTTAGTTGCGCCTTCATTGTTGTATGTAGCTCAGATAAATGATTTGCCAGATCTTTTGTTATAGACTTATTAATTTAAAAAAAAAATCAAAAGCATCAAGTTGTAGATGATAAGCATAATTAGTAAAGAAAGATGTTTATTGCTTAGAAGAATGTACTATATTATTATAAGCAAACTTTGACAATGGCAAAAGAGTTGTCTAATCATCTTATTGTTAATTGATGGTATACTTTAAATATTGTTCTAAAATTTGATTTATATACTTTATTTATCTATCACTTTAAAGATAAAAAGCCAAAGATAGTTTTATATCTATTTTTAGAATCTTAAAAAGTATTTTCTAAAATCTTGACACAAATTAAATTCCTCTATTTGATATAGTATACTTAGGTAATCCATGATAGCAATAGATGTTGTTAAGAAAAAACTTGGCTATTTCTTTACGTATAATAGATTTTATATATGATATAAAATATGCCATCTTGGTGAAAGGATCTACTATTATATATATAGAGTCATAAAAACCTGAGATTGGAAGATCCGTGATAAAATCTATAGAAACAAAAGACTATGGTGTGCTGCTTGTGAGGGCAGTGTGAGGCGATTGCCATTTCTGGTTGATGAGATTAGAACCTTTGTTGCATAACAATCTTATATATATATATATATATATATATATATATATATGCTTGTACTAAAATGAATGAGTGAGATAGCAAGCTTGTTTTTATGTATGTTATTATTTGCTAGTAGTTTAATAAATAATAGTCTTCTTTTTAAGATTTAAATTTTTTATTGTATCAATCGCAAATAAAAAGTGGTGTTAAATATATCCTACAAGATATTAGATAAAATAATAAATTCAAAAAAGAAGAAAATGACATATATTGTTTAATGATTAAGGGTATAATATTTTGAAAAGCAATTATATTTTAGATATATATATATTTTTTGATTATTTTGACATGTAGATTCAAGTGTAGATCAACTTACATTAATGACAATTTTCTTCTTTTAATTAGAGTTTGAAACTAAAAAAGAGATATTGGGAATAATGATGAAGAATTAAATGATATGGAAGTAGTTTTATGTGGCCATTCATGTTTTGTAATATTTACTTCATAGTGATTGAAAATATTTATACTAAAAGGATCTACAATTGTATGTACAATTCTTATAATTTGTAATTTTTTTGTGCATAGATAAAGAGTTATTATTGTTATTTTGATTATCATATTAATGTTTATAAGTACTTGTATATATTACATGTAATTTTTTTAATTATCTATTTTATTTTTACAAAACTTTCAAATCATTGCAAAAGAATACAATATGTTTTTTTATTATTTGATGTGCATTCAAAATAGTTGTATGTAAAGAGAAGAAAATAATATGGAAGATGCGTCAATTTAAGAAATAATAATGTATGATTATTTTTATTTTAATATTTATTTATTTATGTCATGATTTATAATTTTTTAAAATTAATATATGTAATTAATATTGACTAAAATTAGAAATATATAGATAATTTTTTTAATTAATTGGTATGTTAATTATTTGTTTTAGTAAATGATAATATGATAAAAAATATATGGTTGTGTATAACTTTTGCACAAAGTACACTAATTTACACTAATGCTAGTTAATTGATACGTTATAGTCATATTATTTTGGAAGACAATTTTTTTTTTTTTTTTTTTTTTTTTTAATTTATTTCATAATGAAGTAATTAAAATCATAGTATATGTTTAATAATACAAATAAGTGCTATTGATGGTCAAGTGGGCCATGAAAATGTTTTCGGAAAGGGTCCTAAGCTCAACAAATCTCAATTTGCTCCAATGACGGGACATAAGCACAAAACCGAAAGGAAGCCCAACGAAGAGGGTCATGCCCAATAAACCATCAATGCTTATACCCGGCCTCTGCAAGGATTGAGGCCTCGTAAGATGTCTGGTACAAATACCCGTGCATACCCGGCGGGGCTCACGATCGTCGCCATTGCAATGGGAAGAACTTGCTTGGTGCCGAGCTGCAACTTGAAGACCTAAACTGAATGAGATTTGCAAGTAATCTTGCAGCTTCCTGTCGGAGTCCCATTTCTCTCTCCCCGAATGCGAAGAGTGTGTTTCTTCTCCGTCGTAGGCGACGGTGCGAGACAGCGGCGCTGCCCAGGCGTTCTGCTGCCAGTCTTTTAACATAAAGAATTCGTGTTTATTTAACTTACTGCGCGGTCTTGGAAGTAGTGTCAACCATGGTACATATTTAATTGGAACTTGTCTCTCCTGCTTTTGGTGGAAGAGGTTCGGGGTAGCTGAAGTTTTTGGTGAAGCATTTTAGGGAGTGGAGAGCCAGGCATTTTTTTGTTTTTACTTATTTTTTATTTTTTATTTTTATTTATTTTATACTATTTGGCGAAGTTACGGCTCTTTGTTGGAGAGTACGGGATTTTTTCTCCGTTTTATGCATCTTCTTGCAAACATATATGCTCCTGGAGTGTTGTGATCGATCTATGACGTTGAGATTTTTCTCTTAGAAGTGAATTAGAAGCCGTGTGGGACTGTAAAAGTAGGTGGAGGGATCCTGCGCATCAGTGGATGTCGTAATGTAGCTCGGGTTTGAATGCTCTGGGTGGGAGACCCATCTGCATTTGATGTCATCGCGCAGAGTCACGAACATAGCAGCTGTCTGCAGTTTTGCACCTGTTACTGGAAAGCCTTTCGTTGCTATTTTTGTCGACATGATAGGCCATTACCCGTCGGTAGACATGGATAATTCGGATGATGATTCAGATGATCTCGAAATTAAGGTTATTGGAGACTCCATGACCGAAAAGTTAAAGGATTTTTCTGATACCCAGCTGGATGACGAGATTGAGAAGTATAAGGAATATGTGTATGGAAAGAAGAGTGGTTTGAAATTATCAGATGAAGGAGCCAAGTTTACAATACATTTGCAAAAGCTACAGAGGGAGAAGGATAAGCGTGCCAGGCTAATCAAGCGGTCTCAGGCGGTACGTTTCTACCATGAGGTTTTTATTGTACGTCATGTATGTCTGTTCTGCACGGATAAGCATTATCTAATCCCCTTCATCAAGACATAAAATATTTTCGCAGCTCATGTCTGAGCGGTGGCACCCTCCGTTCAATAGTAAGGTCTAGGCCGGCCAGGTTGGAATAAGTGTTTTGACGAGGATAACATCTCTAGAGAAAAACATTCTCACTATCAATCACAGGGGAGAGTCTCTAGCATTACAAGGATTGCTCGAAGAGGTGACAAAGTAAGTTAAGAAGAAGAATTCACTGAAGGCTTCTTTTAGAAGTTTAGTCAGGTTTCTGCCCTCATTTTTTTTCTCCAACTGGTCTAAAAGTTGAAGAGTTCGTAAAATGCAGACTTCACCACTACCTAATAAACCAAGGTTTGATGGTCCATACGCTGGGTAGTGTCATGATAACCTATTGTTACATTCTACTTATATCTCATTACTTCGAGTGCTTTTGCCAGGCCCCAGCTCCCGAACCCCAAGACACACAGCGTTTTGATGAATTCTGTGGAGGTATAGTGGATAGCTTTACCCGAGTTTTCTTTTTGGTTATCTGAAGCCTGGTGCTTTCTTGAAAAGGCAGGTCGACTGAGGTCGCGGAGGAAATCAAGTCTTTTCTACTCCTCTTATCTCTTGCCCAACCTTCACATTCAGATCGAGATCAGCAATTTCAAAACTTTACTTTTTGTGCAGGGCCTTGCACGATTGGGGATGGACAGGCAACGGGAGGGACAAGTTCGACGATACAGCCTGGGTCACTCAGAGGTTTTGGCATTTCCTCTACCGTCAAGGTAGTTAGAAGTGTCTATACAGAGGCGTTACGTTCCTGCTGTAGTGGTTATGCTTATATGCTGTCAACTTCAGTTCCACTGAGACGTTGCTGCGATTAGGATCTGCAAACTTTTTACGTATCTGGATAAACTTCTTGCATAACTATCCAACTAGCAATTGTGTATCGAGCTTTAAATTTGAAACAGTTCTGAGTTTAAGAGAATGCTACCTTGCTAAATTACCAGATTTGACGAACTTGAGTGGGTGTTTCAGACGGACAGCTTTTCAAATAACATTCGCTTGCACTCCCCAACTAGTTCTGCTCCTCACGAGGATTTCGGCAACGGCAAAATTACCGTATCATCTGAAACCACCCGCCAATTTCCTTCACCAGAAAAGAGTGCTTCATCTGCGGACAGAGCAACCCGTGTGTCGTCCGGGGAGCAAGCAGGGCCCTCTTGTCGAGAGTTATCGACACCAAATCAATTTGACAAGTCTGAAGGTTGCAGCATTTGTAAAAAGACCTCGAATCTGAAGAACGTTGCTGGAAAAGATGGACTTTACTGTTCGGTGTGTCGGTAAGTGGCTTTTCTCATTTACCCTCCTCTGTATTTTTTTATTTTATTTCTGTGTTTTTCTTCTTTTAACGCGCTTACGTACAAGGACTGAGAATTACGTCTATTAATTTTGTTAATGCTCGATTAGACTTGCCACGACGGAGGTTGCCTTAATTTTCCTCCATGTTCATGTGGTCGATTGAAGAGCGTGTAGGATATAGTTGCTTATTGCGTAAATTACTCTCATTCACTGCTGATACCGTAGATATTGTTTACAGCATGACACGATCTTTTTACATTTTCTTGGCTACATCTGTGCTCAATTTTTTGTGTGAATGCAGGAGGAAGCAAAACACACCTGATCCTTCCTTTCAGTTAGATGGTGATCGGAAGGTATTCTTTACTTCACACGTACTTTCCATCGTAGAGTGTAAAGATTTCCCCCCCATAATTCGCCATACATCTTTTGATGTAATTTAATACTCTGTTCAATCTATTTATACCAACTTGTTTCATACAAATCTTTTGATGGCTTCCTTTCAGTATATGTTTCTTCTTGGTGCGTTTGTGTTCGAAAGGTGAACTTTACCTCGATCTTAACACGTTTGTTTTCTTTTGACAGTTCAACCTTTTAAAAGTTGCACTTCAAATTTTGGTTGAACGAATTTTGGTTGAGCTGTTTAGATTTTGAATATTTTGGGTTAGTGCTTATTCCTTTCTGATAGCTGTCTGGAGATTTGCCCCATTCGTCCTTATTTTAGATCACTTAAGACTCATGTGCTCTTCGATTTCGGCAACCACAGACGCCAGCTGCTAGAACGAGAAGTAGTCGGAAGCGTGAACGCGAGGCAGATGTTGGCAGAACACCCGTAAGTTTTTACGCCATGTGATATTTAGTTTGCTGTTGCACTTTTGTTCAGTTTGTAGGTTTCTTCAGATGTTGTGTGTCGAAGTTAATAGCTGTGAGAGGACTCTTGGACAATGTAATTCTAATCTCTGTTTAAACCAGGATACAGCTATGCAGATTGACTCTTCTGATGACGAAATCGAAAAGACTCGAGTGGGAGTTGTTGAGCGGCCTCGCCGCATGGGACTTCGTAGCTCACAGAAAGCAAGGTGATTCTTGAAAAGAACCCAGTCTGATTTGGAGACAATCGTTCATGTGTTTGGTGACAGCGATTATGTCGTTCAGGATTTAGGGTTTAATGTCTCAGTTTGCAGTTTGCGTGTGAGATTTGGAAGAAGGCGCATGTTAGGAGTCCCATGAAATTGTGAGAATAGTTTTGGTTAATATTTCGTTGTCTTGTATTAAGTTGGGGTAATGGCGGGCATTTGGGTCTTTGTTTTCCTTTGCAGAATGGAGGGCTACAGAGTTGCTTACCCTTCAAGGTACTGGAACCTGAACCCAAATTCATGGAAGATATTTGTTTGTTTATTTATTTATTCTCCTCCTCCCTGATAGGGTTTCGAGAAACCCATGGCCCTTTGAATTCTTACTTTATGATGGTCAATGTTGTAATACAGGACCGATTCCGACGCTGTGGAGATTCTACCGGAAGATATTGACAGACTCAATCCGATGGAGTTTCTGAATGATACTATTATAGATTTTTACATCAAGTGTGTTTTCTTTTATTTCCAGAAAGGACATTCATTTCATCCTTTTGAATCTAAAATTTGATCAAGATGATGAGAGTGGATGATTATGTAGGTTTTAAGTGCTTGCGAGTAGCATTAATGTTTTTGTCTTTGTGGAAGCAAAGCTTAAGTTACAAAGGTCATGTGCGGGCGGCCACAATGGATTTCATACCATTAGGTTTGAGAGCATTTCTTAATTGTTTTGTTTTATCCCAATGTTTCAGGTATATACAAAGAGATGAATTCCTTAGTCCAGAAGAACGGCAACGTTTTCACTTCTTTAATAGCTTCTTTTACAAGAAGTTAAGTGAAGTGGTTAGTTTACAGGTACGCTGCAGTCTCAACAGAGTTTTAGGCTGCTTTGTACACCTGACAAAACTATTCTCTAGAAGTGCAGTGCTTGGATTCATTTCAGTTTCAGATTACTATCGGCTGGTCAGGGCGGTAAATGAAATGAAATGTGTGGTTTTCATGATCAGAAAAAGAAGGGAGGAGCTGATTTTTCTAAATTGCGGAAGTGGACAAGGGGGACAAATATATTTGAGAAGGACTATCTTTTTGTACCAATTCATGACAAGTGAGCAGTAGTGAACACTCAGGCTGTAGAAAGTGTGATTTGCTGGATTTTATTTTTTTATTTACCTTTGACTCACATTGACAATATCTGGTCACCGTACATATTTTAAAGGGTGTTGGTTGCAGGTTGCATTGGAGCCTCGCTATCATTTGCCATCCTGGTTGGGACAAAGGGACCGACAGTGAGCGTTGCATCATCCATCTTGATTCTATGTCCCTTGGTCATGACAGTCAACGAGTTTTCCGATTGCTTAAAAGGTCAGGGATACAACACATCTCCATTAATGTGTAGATCACTTCTCATAATGCATTAACGACTTCCAGTGCCTTGAATAGTTACCGTGGAGTAGGTCGTGTACTGTTGCTTCGTTCGAAGTATGTTGATCTCACTGGATTTTGTTCGTTTTCATGTGGACTCTTGTTCTTGCAGTGTTTTTTTTCTCTGCCGGTGGTTGGGTTTTGGATACCAAATTAGAAAAATAATTATTTGTTATCCTAACAACTCTAGAAGAAATAAATCTACGGCTTTCTACGGAATTTATTTTGTGAATAGAGTACACAGAAGTTGAATTTTCATTGACGGTTTTATATGTGGTTGGCAGTTATCTAGTGGCAGAGTGGAAGCACAGTGTTGAAGCAGGCGAAAACGAGGCGGATGAATGCATACATACAGTGCAGAAATTAAAGGCTGATGATATTCCTTGTAAAAAGGTCCCGGTATGTCTTGTGCGCTTATTCAACCGACTGGTGGACATTTCAGATTACTTAGAAGAGCCCCTATCCATCAAACCTCGGAATTTCAGATTAACGCTAGTGTGGATTGATTTTGGTTGGATCACAGTTTTTGTTTACAACTCAACACAGCACCCTTTAGCTTTTTAAGGTTAAGACCATTTTGTCATAGCTCTTGAAATGTAACACCTGATTTCGTACTCAAACGTCCCTCTATGAAGATGATGGTTATTTGCTTTTGCAACACATTGTTAGATGGCAGCTTGTTTCGTTTTACGTAGGTACAGCCGATCGACTCTCGCTGTGCTGGATGAAATTATCTCTTGAGAGGCTTGTGAGCACCTGCATGAAACCGATTTTTCTGCTTACATGCATCACCATAGTATAATTTGTAACTTAATCTGCATTATTTTCTTGTTTCAGGTTCCATTGCAAGAGAATGAGTCGGATTGTGGCCTCTTTCTTCTGCACTATATACAAAAGTTTGCAGAATGTGCTCCCAAGACTATGAAACTAGTTGATCTAGAGGGAAGCTGGGAAACTGTAGGCGTGGTAAGGTTTTCCTCAAGGTGTTGGTGATTTGAGCTAGTCGTTTGAAGACGTTACATCTTGCATCCACTCGTGAAGAATGTCTTCCTGGTAGTGACTTTCTATTAGGGCTAACATTAGTTCTCTATACTCATGTGGAATTCACGGCAATCGGTTTCTTAGGCACTGAAATTTTAACCCTGGGTGCTTTTTTTGTGCGCTTATCTACATCAGCTCACCTAGTATCACTTGTAGAGAGGTAGTCCGGAGAAGTTCGTTTTCGAGCCTGAGTCCGAATCTAATAGTTCGTGCGGAGTTGTGAATGTTGATTCAAGCTTGTTTTCTTGATTTGTAGTTTGGTGTCGATTGGTTTCTTCCCACTGAAGCATCAAATCTAAGGACATCAATTCAGGAGCATCTTCAGCGTCTGTTTGATCAAGAGATTTTGGAGCATGCAAAGAGCGCTTGTGAACAAGTGAAAGAAGAGGACCGGCTGAATGAGGACGTACCAAATGACGAGGGCCGATGTGAACTTATGATAACTGTGGACCGTGAGACTTCTTGTAAGTCATCTTCAACCCTCAGAATGATAGTCCTCATCTTCTTGCCACAATGCATTGTCATGAACTGCACCTGCCAATTTTGGGCTGCAAGACATACCGAAATTGCATCTACTGATAGAATTTGTTAACTGAATGGGTTGGTGGTCGATATATATGTGTAGATGGATTTAACTTGCCATGAGTCCCAACATACTGGTTATCTGAAACTTGAGCTTTGAAGATTTCTGTATTGATACGTTGAGGTCTAGTGCCTTCTCTGTACTTTTTGTTCACTTGCTTTAGATTTGATGAATATGATTTCAATGATGGCCTGTTGATGACCTTGCAGAACGCCGGAGGCTAGATGTATATTCAACTCGTTTATATTTTTCTGCAATTACAAACTGAACTTTACAAAGCAAGTGGCTCACCTCTGCATATTGTTTTTGCCTGATCATGGTGTCGTGGAATTAGCTTCTAATCAGGTCAGTGTAATATAGTGAAAGATAACTCTGTCATCTGTCATTATCGAGAGTGTACAGTAGCAGAAGTTGGATAAACCCCTTCAAACACCTAACAGTATATCAGATGTTTGCCCCCGAATCAAATGTTGACATTGGAGATGCTCTATCATGAGAAACTATTTCTGAACTTTGAATTGGTAGTATTTCTTGAATGCAATTGGCAAGATAAACGAAATTGTAATATTTTCTGCGATGTTGGTTAAGCAGGGTGATAGTCGTAGCATTTTCATTTTTTGGATGCTCCAGGGCGTTTTACCTTCCAGACCTTATTCATGCAGTTTTTTTGCTTGATGTTTGGTTTTCTGTGAAGTATGAATGTTGGTCACTGATACAATGAGGATACAGGTATTAGTGACCAACTTTTAGAGTAAGGAGAACACTACTTTGTGCTGTTCAAATGATGTAGACCTTCACATAAGAACTGCTCCTATAGAATCTATAATTGTAGTTGGAGGGGTGGGCTGGAGCTTGCCTTAATCAGTTTTGGGCATTTACTGGTTTTTGAAACCCTCAGGATTACGTTCATCAAGGATTAATTTTCAAATTTGGTATTGTTCTAGATAAAAATTTAAAATTTGTGCTCGTTTAAATGAATAATTTGGTAACATCTGATTTTTTTTGAGTGTTGATTAAACTAAAAGTTCAAGAGAAGGTAGTCCAAGGGTGTAGGATCTGTCTCAATAATAGTAATAAATTCAATGTAATATGAATCTACCAGTATTATCATTGGGTCCTAGCTTGGGACTTTATAGACATGAAGAACCTATCTTGCTATCTTTTGCATCTTATGTTGTATTTTATGTTGGAAAAACTTTTGTTATGTAAGAATTATTTATATATTGAAGAGTCTTATCTTTTATGAAAGATAATTTTTGGATAATATTTATGCAAGGATCAAATTCAAGAGTAGTTTTATAGAACTTAAGATAAAAGTATTGAAGGAAAGAACTCTTTAAGTAATTGCTAATAGTCAATAGAGTACAAGTGTTGTTAGGGATATCCCATAAGGTTAGGTGTTGGTCTATAGTGCATTAGAATACAAGGGGTGGGCAGATCCTAAGAGATATCCCATATGGGTTGTAGCACTTGGTACCTTGGTACTAGTATATAAGGAAAGGATTGGCATGGGAAGAATTATCTCATACCACACTCTATTTATTAAAGTGCAACTTTGTTGGTCCTAACTTACTTGTGTGGAGTATGCTTTCTATGTTTCAATAGGTTATGGGCCCACATTCTTTTACCAAATAAGTTGTTCTTGCATTATTTCTTTGTTGCTTGTTTTTGGTGGTTGAGATCTTATGGTAGAGTGTTGCTAGTGAATTGTTGAAGTCATTGCTCTTGGATTTGTGAGTGTATGAGCTTAGTGCAAGACCTTAATAATGTCTTTGCTGAAGGAGCACTAGTATTTGAGAGTTTTATGAGAAAGTGAGTCATTTTGAGTGAAGTGACGTGAGAGAGACGTTTGAAAGTCATAAAATCACATTACAAACCATTTTCCACCATTTAGACGTAATTTGGACTCAAAATATGCAAAAAGTTGCAAAACAACGAATTTTGGGTTTGTAGTTTAGCAATCTTTAAGTAGTCATATCTTTTGCATTACAACTCCAAATCAAGAGTTTTTTGGACCTACTTGTAGCTTGAGATGGCATCTTTTGAGGGTGATAGCTTAAGAGTTGTTGAAAAGTTTAGAGGTGATAACTTTCACCACTGGAAAGCCAAAATGGAGCTACTTTTGGCGTCATTGGATCTTTGGGAGATAGTAGATGAGGAGGAACTTGCACCTGGAGTAGAGGCAAGCATCAAGGAGCAAAAAGACTTCAAAAGATGAGAGAAGAAGGCTTTTGGCATAATTGCCACTAATTTAGATGAAAGCAACTTTGCTCATGTCCATTCTTGCAAGGGGGCAGCAGATGCATGAAAGACTCTTTGCAATGTCTATGAAAGCAGGAATCTCTCCAATGTGCTATGGTCAAGGCAAAAATTCTTCACCGTGAAGATGGAAGAAGGTGAAGATCTCATAGCTCATGTGAATAAGGTAAAAGCACTTGCAAATCAATTGTTGGAGCTTGTACATTCGAATGTTTGTGGACCTATGAGGACACCATCTATGAGTAGAGCAAGATACTTTGTCACATTTATTGATGACTTTTCAAGGAAGGTATGGATTTACATCATCAAGGCCAAGAGTGAGTGTTTTTCCAAGTTTAAGGAGTGGAAAGCACTTATGGAGAAGCAATGTGAGCTTAAGATTAAGGTGCTGCGATCGGACAATGGAGGTGAGTATTTGTCCAAACACTTTGATGAGTTATTGAAGCATGAAGGCATTGCAAGACAAACCTCCACTCCCTAGACTCCACAACAAAATGGAGTTGCTGAAAGAGCAAATCACACCATTGTGGAGATGGCAAGGAGTATGATTCATGCTCAAAAACTTGGGTATGAGTATTGGGCGGAAGCTGTGGTAAATGCCGTGTATACAAGAAATAAGTATTTTACAAGTGCACTTGAAGGAATGACTCCCCAAGAAGCTTGGACTGGTAACAAACCTTGCATATCTCACATGAGGATTTTTGGGTGCATTGCATATGTCAAGGTTCTAGATAGTATGAGAGGCAAACTTGATGCAAAGGGTACGAGATGTGTATTCCTTGGTTATTGTGAAGGCACCAAGGCATATAGGCTCATGTGTTTAGATATCAAAAAGATCATCAAAAGTCGTGATGTAGAATTCTTGGAGCATAAGAGTGGTAGTGAAAAGTGGAAGATGTGTCCAAGTGGGAGTAGTGGTGTCTTTGTGGACACATCTTCAATTCCAACAAACAAACAAGAAGATGAAGAAGAACATTCTCAAAGTAAAAAAGGAGAGGAAGATGCCATGATAGAAGAGCCCAATACTATGAAGACTTCAATTCCAGCAAGATACAACAAGGACAATGAAGAGAATGAAGATGAAGAATATCAACCAATGAGTAAGAGAAAGAACTCCATGAGCCATACAAGGCAGCAAGAGGTGCATGAAGGCTCATCCTCTTTGCATGAAAGAAGATATCCAATACGTGAGAGAAGACCACAAGGTGAATGGTGGAAGAACCACATCTTTCTACAAATAAGTGAAGATCATGCCAATGTTGCTCTTCTTGATGATCCATTGACTTTGTGTGATGCAATGAGGTGTGGTGATGCAATGAAGTGGGAGATTACCATGCAAGAAAAATACAAATCTCTTATGAATAATGAGACATGGGAGTTGACTCTACTTCTACCAAATCGATCAGCAATTGGATGTAAGTGGGTGTTTAGAACCAAGAGAGATGCTATGGGCAATGTTGTGAGGTACAAGGCAAGATTGATTGCCAAAGGCTATTCACAAGTTGCTGGAGTGGACTTAAATGAGACATTTGCACCCATGGCCAAGTTCACCACCACTAGAACCATAGTAGCAATTAGAACATCAATGGACCTTGAGATGCATCAAATGGACGTCAAGACAACATTCTTGAATGGAGAATTGGAAGAAGACATCTACATGGAGCAACTTCAAGGATTTATTGAACAAGACAAACACCACCTTGTTTGCAAGTTGAAGAAGTCATTGTATGGACTCAAGCAATCACCAAGAGCATGGTACCAACGCATTGACTCATTCTTTGTGAAGGAAGGTTTTGTAAGGAGTGAAGCTGACCATTCTTTGTATGTATTGCAAGCCAAGGACTTCTTGCTGGTTGTGATCTTCTATGTAGATGATTTAATCATCTTAAGCAACACCATGGTAAGATTGGATTGGTTGAAGAAGAAATTGGAGAGAGAGTTTGAGATGAGTGATTTGGGAGAGCTCCATTATTGTTTGGGTGTGGAATTCACAAGAAGTAGAGAATCAAAGACCATCACATTGAGCCAAAGCAAGTACATTGAAGAAGTGTTGAAATGATTCAACATGAGAGATTGCAAGCCCATTGGAATTCCTTTGGAGGCCAACTTGAAGTTGATGAAGCTCATGGATGAGGAGTATGCTGAAGTTGAGCATCAAATGCAAGGCATACCATACAAAGCAGCAGTAGGCTCACTCATGTATGCAATGGTAGGCACAAGGATGGATCTTGTATTTGCGGTAAGTGTTGTAAGCTAACACATGGCAAAACTAGGTTCTATGCATTGGACAACCATCAAGAGAATCATGAGCTACTTGAAAGGCTCTTTGAACCTCAAACTATGTCTTGGAAGAGATAATATTGCATTACATGGATATTGTGATGCGGATTGGGCTGGAGATGCAAACGATAGAAATTCAACAACGGGCTATGTATTCTCTGTTGGAGTGGGAGCCATATCTTGGAATTGCAAGAGATAACCAACCATTGCAAGGTCCACAATGGAGACGGAGTACATGGCAGCAAGTCATGGAGCAATGGAGGCAATTTGGTTGAAGTTGTTATTAGAAGATATTAGACTTGTGTAATTGGAGGCCACTCTATTGAGGTGTGACAATCAAGGATGTCTTGCTTTTGCAAAGAATCCAAAGCATCATGCAAGAACCAAGCACATTGATATTCAACATCATTTCATAAGAGAGAAGATAGAGATGGAGGTTATTGATATGATGTATTGTGAAACCAAAGACATGTTGGCTGATTTGTTGACAAAAGCCTTAGTTAGAGAAAGACACAACAAGTTAAGTAAGGCAATAGGATTGATAGCTAATTGACCAATAGCAAAGTGGGAGTGTTGAAGGAAAGAACTCTTTAAGTAGTTGCTAATGATCAATAGAGTATAAGTATTGTTAGGGATATCCCATAAGGTTAGGTGCTGGTCTATAGTGCATTAGAGTACAAGGGGTGGGCTGGTCTTAGGAGATATCCCATATGGGTTATAGCACTTGGTACCTTGGTACTAATATATAAGGAAAGGGTTGGCATAGGAAGAATTATCTCATACCACACTCTATTTGTTAAAGTGCAACCTTGTTGGTCCTAACTTACTTGTGTGGAGTATGCTTTCTATGTTTCAATAAAAAGAATAGGTATAATGGAGGTGGAGTCTAGATCCTAGTTACTGTCAACTTATTTGGATTATAGTTGGGTTGAGATCAAGTATTAACAATCAAATCATAAACTAAAGAAATACATATAAAATCAAAAATTATAATAAA